AAAAATAAATAAATAAGTAAAATTTTTTAAAAAATAAAGTGATCTGGAACTCAGCAAATGAGAATAGAACCAGTTATGAAAGCTGCCCACTTTTGTAGTTCCGTTCACCATGACTGTGTCCATGGATGGATCATTGCTTTGAAATAGGTTGGGTGGATACAGAAAGCTGCTCAACTATTTACCACAATGCTAACACATATCCGATGTACAGATACACTGAGATGTTGCTTACCCGAGCCATGTTTGCCTCCTCTTCTCTGAGCAAATCCCCATTCCTTCAGATAGCTACCTTTGCCATAAATGAACCGTAATTAGAAGCAGCTATTCTGAGCTCACAGCCCTTGGCTGTGATTGGTCTGATGACGGACAGGTAACCTAGTTCAACCAAAGAGATGTACAGAAGTCCAAAGTGAGTTTGTTTTCCTGACTAAAAAGACAAAGCTCTACGCACAGGAAAGCTTTGTGACTTTTTCATCTTGATAAAGACGAATATGGTTCCGTCATTGGGGAATAACAGATACTTTCTTTTTTTCTTTTTTATGCAATTTTATTTAAACTCAAAGGTAATAAAAATGTTGTAAGCCTAAAAAAAAAAAGAAGAAGAAGAAGAAGAAGACTCTTTTTCAGCCTAGTATGAATGGTTAATCCAGCTTTCTAAAAGAAATTAATTGGTAAACCATCCTATGAAAAACATAAGGTTCATTTTAGGGTTAAATTAGAAATGACAAATTTTCTCAGGAGATATGGACTTTATAAATACTAGCAGGAATCTTTTCTTACATCATTTGAAACTTCTGGGTTCTTCATTCTCATCACTAAGCCAAGGTTTGTCTTTCCAAAAATGGTGCAGTCTTCCCGTGGTGGATAGGAATTCTCAGGGAATAATGGAAAAGAAGGGGACAGGGCTCCCCCAACTCTGCCATGTCTATCTGGCTTCATCTGCTCAAGAGACGGCACCAGGAAACATTCCAGGTGGTGTGGATGAGCCCGGTCAGAGTCCCCCAGACACAGACAGGAAGTGGGAACCTAGCGCACCTGCTCCTCCTGGAGGTTCTTAACCTCCCTAGGCATCCGACAGAGCATCTGCAACGGTTGATACATGTGTCAATTTGAAGTGTTTAGGAGTTTAATTAAACATTCTGGCAGGGGGCCAGGATCCCCACTTCATAAACATCCTCAAGAGGAGGGCAGGAGATGGGGTGAGTGTTACTCATGGGGCGGGAAGGGGGGCTGCTCACAGTATGTAATGGAAGGAAAGAGGCTCGCCCCTGCCTTTCTGCTCACGTTCCTTCTGCTGTCTCCTGCCGCCTTCACGGCTGCCCCTGTGCCGCGCTGCCCCGCCGTGCAGCCCTCTGTGAGCCACAGAACCCTTCCCTTCCTTCATTTCGAGTGTCAGGTATTTTGTCCCAGCAAGGAGAGAAAAATAACCAAGACAATATCTATTTCCCTATCTTTCTAAAACTCAGTCAGTGACAGCGGCTTCCCCATGCTGTGGTAAGCACCAAAGGAGTCTTTGCGAGGAGTTCCTGCCCAGCCAGCACCTCTACCAGGTCGATGCTCCTTGAAGGCCCCTTTCCAGAGACCTCAAGATGCACACGCTCACGTTCTCTGTTCACGCCCTGCAGCTCCTGCAACCCTTCAGCCTTGAGTCTGCGAAGCCAAGGCGGTGTAGCTGGAGCCAGGAGAGTTGTCACTGTGCCCTGAACTGCCGACTGGACTCAAGGTAGACAACATGCGCACATGCGCACACACACTCTGCACTAAGGACCCAGGGCCCCACACATTCGAGGCCAGTGCTCTACCACTGAGGTGCAGCCCCAACCCTCAACGATCTAGTTCACAGAGTGCACACAGTTGTGGTTACAGCCTCCCAAGGTTTAGCAAGGGTTTTGTGAATGGAAGCCAGCCTCAGGCCCACTCTTCAGCTGAGAAAGGGAAGCCAGAACACAGAGGGAAAGGGTAAGCGTGGGGATGGGCCAGGAACAGTTACAGCAGGAGGGAGGGGGCGGGGTCTCCCACACACACCGGAAACCGGAGAAGACAGCTCTTGTGGCTGAGGGTGCCCAGCCCCATGGACAAGGTGTGGCTGGCCCTCCCTCCTGTCTTCCCCAGTCCTGGGGCGTTCTTGGGTGCTCTACATTGACCTAAGCAGAAAAACAGGGCAGGAAGAGGCAGAACCCTACTCTCACCATAGCAGACAGTCCATCAAGGTGGTCCAGGGACCACTGCAGGCTACTCGGGTGGCCTGGCCTGAGTCCACCCAGGAGCTGAGTGACAAATGAGGCCACCTCAGACACTGGAAGCAGCAAGGCCCCGTGAGGAGACCGGTGGTCCAAAGTCCCAGCCCTCCAAGATCAAACAATTGAATCATGGAAACCCTAAAAAGCCCGACAAAGAACTCACTTCAGTGCCAGCAGAGACCAGGCTTTTCGAAGCCTGCCTGCCACGTGGAGGGCTTTGACAGCTGGGTAGAGAAGCAGCAACCACAGGAGACATGAGACACTTGCCCCTGCCCTTCTCCCTCTTTCCTGTCACTGTTCTTCAGAAAAAAAAAGTGGGTTTCCAAGACAGACAAGTTACGGGGACACAGAGCATGTGCTGGACTGACCTGGGTCTGTGCGGGTGCTCCTTAAACACAGAAAAGGGAGACGCCGCCGAGCGTGGGATGATAGGATGTTCTGAGCTAATGGCACCCTGTGTGTGAGATCTGGAGAATCAGACTGCAGCTAAAGGGAGGGTGGAACCAGGACAGCCTTCCAATGCGTGTGGCTGCTCCTGATGGGAAAAGACCCGGACACACGGGTCCTCACAGGACAGTGCCCAGTGGACACACCATGCTGGCACTTGGGGGAGCTCGGCGCAGACACAGAATCTCAGGGCCCAGTCCACGCACCTGGAATCAGCATCCTCACTGCCTACATGTTTGAGAATTCTCCAGAGACCCCAAGCCCTGCCTAGGGGATTTAATATGCATGTATGTTCCTCCTCCCCCCCTCCTCCTCTTCCTTCTCTTCCCTAGGGAGGAGACACTCCTCCATAGTGTCTCTAGGGCTCTCAACACAAAGTCTGCATCAATAAGTAGGGATTTGAGGACCCAAGCCAAACAAAGTGCTATTCTAGAAGACTGCCAAATCGCCACTTGGGAAGCCAGCTGGCTACAGATGTTCCAGGTTATCTGCAAGGACCTGAGGCTGGGAGTTCTGGTCCATAAAGACCCCAGTAGAAGCCAGCAGAGCAGGACGTCCCAGCCAGCTGCCAGTGGCTACAAGGTGCTTGGAGGTAAACAGTCAGGACTCCAAGGGCCGTGAGGAGTAGGCATCAAATCCCTGCTGAGAACTAGAGGGAGGAGCTTCGCGATCCCAGAGCAGGAGCAGGCTGCTACTGAAGGAAGACACTGTGCAGCTGCCGGAGGAGCCCTCACACCTGCAGTGGGCCTCTGTGGGTGGGCGGCGACCCCAACCAATACAGCTCACACAGCTGATCCGTGATGAGTAGCTTGGGGCAGCTGAAACAAGGTATTTTGATTAAATTCGAGTAAATCTCTGAGGTCTATTAAAAAAAAAAAAAAGTCACAAGACCAAAGGTCACACAGCAACCTGCCGTCCTTTGGAGTTTTAGCATTTGTGTTTTGGGTAGCAATCAAGATTCATTATGGTTGTGAAAGACAGCACTCTTGGCTGGGGCTGCCCAACTCCGAAGTTGGAGACTGTGTGAGAGTGGAGCAAAACTGACAAGAAATGGAGTAACAGGCCAGAGTGGCCTGCGTTCCTCAGGCACTAGTGGCCACCCAGGAACCCAGAACAAAGCCCCACTTCCACTTTCACATTGCTTCTCTCCCACGGGGCAGTCCTCCATTAGAATCAGCACAGAGCGAAGCTACAGAAGCAGAAGGATGATAGGCAGCGGTCAGGGGGGCAGAGACCTCACAGAGGCCTCTCCAAGTGCTGCCCTCCACTGGCCTCCACTTGAAGCTGAACCTTCCATGACCACAGTCAAACCCATCAGCCTCCTCTGGGAGCTCAGCTACGATCTGTTTCCCTGGGCAGCCTAGCTGCAC